CATGTACATCTATGCTGTATGTTAATAAAAGTGCCTGTGTGACATCTGGGACACAGCTTTGACTAAGAACTCTCTTTTTGTTCTTACTTTATGGCTTAAAAAAATATATCGAGATATATATCTTATATCGCCATCCAGCTAAAAAATATCGAGATATGAATTTTGGGTCATATCGCCCAGCCCTAGTCCCCATAGACTTCAATGTTGACATGTCCAACTTTCCAGCAGAAATAGTCCCAACATGTTTACACAGCCTATTTTAGTACAAACTTTGCGGCTCGCATGTTACACATGGATCTGTTGATCTAGAACTAACTCCCAAACCACCAGATCTGTATTTCCTGTGGTGCATTAACAGGAACTGACACCTGTAACCTCCACCTACAGACTGTTGAGGTTGTCAAAAATTCCAAGTTTTGAGTTTGTATAAGTTCTTTGATGCTGCTCATCTCATCTTTGTTTCATGCAAAGTCTGCACAGTGGCATTTTTACTCCTTAGCCGTAAAAGGCTGATGGGGTATTATTGGCACCCTGTTGGACAGGCCATGGCATAGACCCACAAGTTTGTGAACACAGTAACTCAAGAATGAGGCGATATAGGATTTTCAGATTGATACTTAGGTGTATCTATCTCGGATAAATGCGTAAGGTCACTGGGTCATAAGGATTTCTGTGGGTGAGGTAAAAATCCTCAACTTTATGTGTACCACCATCAGTCTTGACTTGCTCGTCTTTGTGTGGACAGTCTTTATCCCAATGATAAACAGACTGATAAACTACACACTTATATCCCTTTTCCATTAGCACCTACTCAGGTAGGTACTGCACTCACTTCTCTTTTTATTTCCTTCAGATGGCGAGTTCCAACATCCGCTATGGAGAAGGAGTCAGCAAAGAGATCGGCATGGTAACCATCTTCATCCTCCTCATTGCTGTCATGTGATGGTCAGATAGGAATTTTTCTTTCTTCTTTTAATGTGATGCATTGAGAAGGAGTGACCAATGTGGCTCTCTGTGTTGTCCTTCCTATCATTGTGGCTGTTCGCTGTTCTCTGCGTGCAGGACCTGCAGAACCTCGGCGCAAAAAACGTCTGCGTGATGACAGACAGGAACTTGTCCCAACTTCCTCCAATGAAGGCTGTTCTTGAGTCTCTAGTGAAAAACGGAGTCAAGTACAAAGTCTATGACAATGTCCGCGTCGAGCCAACGGACTCCAGGTGCGTTCAATGTCAGCACAAGTGACGGTCTGATTAATGATTGCCTGTCAGATGAAGAGAAAAAAAACATGTCTTTGTGTCCAAAATGTCTCATCAGAGAGGAGAGAAGAAAGTTCATCAGAGCCAGGCTTTTTCATGGCTCTGAGTCGGCTCACAAACCTACATAGGGGCGTTTCACAGGGTCACATGACTCTTCCTCCTCACAGAATGAACCGTGTGCACATCAGAGTGCTGAAATACTTAGGCAGTGTGTTAATGGCAGACAATCAGTAAGTAAATGAATAAGTTAATTTATCAGATGAAATGACCTCAGCTCGATCTCTGCTGAATTTCAGCTTTAAAGATGCCATCTCCTTTGCTAAAAACCATGCCTTTGATGTGTTTGTGGCGGTGGGCGGTGGCTCAGTGATTGACACATGTAAAGCGGCCAATCTGTACGCGTGTCACTCCGATGCCGACTTCCTGGACTTTGTCAATGCTCCGATTGGCAAAGGGAAGCCGGTGAGTGGAGCTGTGAAACCGCTGATTGCAGGTATGACGTGTCCCGCTTTTTTTCCTTCTTCCTCCATCTTTGTGGCTAACTCTGGGTTTTTGTGTCCAGTTCCCACAACTGCAGGCACCGGCAGTGAGACCACAGGTGTCGCCATTTTCGACTACGAGCCCTTAAAAGCCAAAACAGGTATAAAAATAGGGATATAAAAGCATATTAGAAGTTGATTTTCCCCTTTGAGATGTTTTAGAAAGACAGTCAGTGAAGATTTAATAGAAAACATAAATCAGCCAATAGAAACCAAGCTGCGGGAGCTGTTGTTCATTATCCAAGTTTTTATGATGGACCCTGAGCTGTGATTGGCTGTTTATGCTCAGGAATTGCCAGCAGAGCCATCAGACCCACACTGGGCATCGTGGATCCGACGCACACACTGAGCATGCCTGAGAGAGTCGCCGCCAACAGTGGCTTCGACGTCCTCTGGTCTGTCTGTACTTATGAAGGACATTTATTCATTTTCTGCATTTTTTGATTCATCAGTAATATTTTTGTTATCATTATATTATTAGTATTAATATAATTATTATTTGCTGTGATGGTGGCGTGTTCCCTTCATGTTTTCGTAGAGGTAGAGATACTGCCAACCTGATGTGAGACACTTCCATGACACTGATTGATCTCTGCCTTTCAGTCATGCCCTGGAGTCATACACCGCCCTGCCCTACGACCAGAGGAGCCCCTGCCCTACAAACCCCATCAACCGCCCAGCCTACCAGGGCAGCAACCCCATCAGCGATGTCTGGTCCCGCCATGCTCTCCACGTGGTCGCCAAGTACATGAAACGGTACGGCCCCAACTACAACTAAAGTATATCCATGATATGCATTTCATTCAACTGGATTCATTTGTAATTGAAATAAGTCGTGATTGATTGATTACAGAGCTGTGCGAGACCCTGAGGACCTGGAGGCTCGTTCCAGCATGCACCTGGCCAGCGTGTTTGCCGGGATTGGCTTTGGGAATGCCGGGGTTCATCTGTGGTAAGACTAAGACTGAGATTTCCTGTAATCCTGCATGCAGGCTGTTTGTGCTCATCAGCTGATCTTCTTTTG